TGAGAACTTTATGGTCACCAAAAATTTTTCAATATTTGTCTATTTATATTTACATGTGTTTTTTTTTTTATGTGCGTTGTTGTTGTCTCCGTGTACTGGAAGCTTATGTCACTAAAACAAATTCTTTGTATGCGCAAGCCTACCTGGCAATAAAGCTCTTTCTGATTCTGATTTCAGCAAAGGAGTGGTTCGTGCATTATTATAAAGCGGAGAGCTCCGGTGCTTGACTCTGATTGGCTGAGCCGAAGCTGTTGTAAATGACGCTACAAAGTAGCACACCTTTGTTTACATCTGTGTGTTGCTCGGCAACCACTTTGTAGCAACCACAACTGTTTCTGAGGAGCTACATTGTTTGGTGGAAGAATACTGTGTTTATTAATATCATTACACTTTATTTGCTCGGTTTTATTTTGTGAAACCTTACTACGTATATGGAATAACCGTTTTATAAAAGCAGTAACCCCCGTGAAGCCCTTCTTAAAAGGATAACGCAATATTGTAATGCATTCCTTTTAAAAGTAACTTTCCAACACTGTGCCAGTCCATCAGTTAATGTCTTGAGAAGCGAAAAGCTGAGAGTTTGTAAGAAACAAATCCATTAAGATGTTTTTAACTTCAAACCAGCTGAATGAGTCAAATCTGCTGCATCAAAGACAACACAGTGTCGTCAAAGAGAACAAAACGTTCTCAACAAAGAGCTCAGACTTTACACGGGCAACGAGTCCAAGCACAGCGGCATGACCATACCAGAGACTCCGATTAATAAAGCAACACTTCACACTAAACTGAGCCGTCTGTCATGAATCACACTCGTGCTGCTGTAAACCAGTGCGTCTTAACCAGGGGCTTCCAATTAATACAGCCTTTAAAGTGCAGCTGCAACAGCTAAATAAATAAACCGCTATTTCCTCCCCTTCACTTTTTACCATCTTTACCTCAGAACCAGAGTTGATGCCATCAAAAAACGTGAATAAAATAATTAAAAGTCTGTAGTAGAAATGTCATGCCACAGCAGGCAGTAGATCAGGGCACTCGCAACGCCAAGGTCATGGGTTTGATTCCCAGTGAAAGCAAGATCTGATCAAATATATAACTTGAATGCAATGCAAGTCGCTTTAGATTAAAAAGTCTGTCAGATGCATTAATGTGGAGGATATTTTCATGACATGAGAGTTTGTACATTTTCTACCAGTTACACAAAAGCTGTATAAATGCAATAAAATAAAATCTAACTAAATAAAACAGAAAAAATAGGATGGTTAAATTATTAAAATGTTTTAAATTTGCCTATGACAAAAATTCTAAAATGTTTTCTGCAAAAATCCTATTAAACAAGTCCTTAAGAGATATTACTAAATTAAATTAGACAACCACCGGGACAAGACCACAGGAACCAGATGAGTCCTCTGCACAATCTGACTTTGCTGCAGCCTGGAACTGAACTGCTGGTTCGTCTGGTCAGAGGAGAACTGGTCCCTGACTGAGCCTGGTTTCTCCCAAGGTTTTCTCTCCATTCTGTCACCGCTGGAGTTCTGGTTCCTCTGGCTTGCTTAGTTGGGGACACTTCATTTCCAGCGATATCGTCGACATGATTGTACAGATGCTATTTAAACTGAACTGAGCTGGATGTTGACGTCACTGAATTCAATGATGAACTGTCTTTAACTGAAAACGGAGTGTGTACTATTGTCCTTCTGCATTATTAACACACTATTTTCCTAATTAATGCTGTTCAGTTGCTTTGACACAATCTGTATTGTTAAAAGTGCTATATAAATAAAGCTGACTTGACTTAAATCATCATCTAACTGCATTAAAAGCAGCACAGCCAATAAGATGTTTAATAGAGAGAGGTCTTAATTTTTTTTTTTTTAAATAAAAGCATCTGCACTCATTTCAAAATCTGCTTAAATAAGCACATTTAAAAAAAAAAAAGCAACTACGTTCATTTCTAAATAAATCTGATTAAATTAAAAAATATATATTTTTTGTAAATAACAATCTTTTCTAAATAAAGCTGCTTAAATATTTTTTTTAATTATCATTTCTAAATAAATCTGCTTAATTTTTTTTTTTTTTTAATAAAAATCTCATTTCTAAATAAAGCTGTTTAAATATTACAACAACAAAAAAATTAAAAGTACCTGCATTCATTTCTAAATAAAATGGAGCTCATCATGAGAAGCTGTGTCAAGTCACTTTATATATTTAAAGCACTTTATACAATCCAGATTTTCAGCACTCATTTTCATTTGCTGATGAAGTTTGTGTGGCGCACTGCATGCACACGCTAGCGTACGCGTAAAGACTGAAGTATGCTTTGGCTTTAGACTCGTAATGTTTCTCGACTCGTGAAGCTTCGGCCCCCAGAACAGAAAACAACGATTCGTTGGCGAACCAGACATCACTGCAGGACAGCACTGTATAACTGATATACTCTTATGCTTTATTTATTTTTTCATTTTTCTTTGAAATATTCCCAGGCGTGTTAACTATGTCATGAAATATCTCGATTCTCAAACATGTGTAAGTAAATGCATGATGTCTTACTTTTTTCCATTACTGCCACCCACAGGACAAACTGCGCATTGCACCCAAAATAGTTTGGTGTGAAACTTTTCCAAATTTCTGATTAGTATTTGTCATATATGAGTCAGATTTAAGAACATGTCTCTGAAATGCAGTGGTTTTCTCTCATCTAACACACCCGATTCCGCTCCTCGGCTCATTATAGAGACTTTAAGAGCTGCAGTGGGTCAGAAAAGGTCAACAGTTATCAGAAACTACGATGCGTGTCATATCTGCGTCATGTTCAGCAGCCAAATAACCTCATAACCAGCTGCTGGGATGCTGTTCATCAGAGAACAGGTCGCTAAATATGACATTTACTTTAATGGGTTTATGTGAAGATTGTGAAAATTAAGTTCACTTAAATTAGAAGTTATTTTTTCAAGTCTAATAAATGTTAAAATTGACAGCGCTCAATTATACTGTAATGTTGAATGGCTAGTGAATGGTTAAATACTAGAAAAAAAATGAATCGAGACCTCAGCAGTATTGGTATCAGTGATACTCGCCTTCGGTCATAAAAAAGATGCCATTAAACAAATATAAATAAATATACTGTCTTTGTTGTTTCTACATTAATTTGAAGATAGAATGTAACAATATTAGAATATAAAATATATTTAAAAACTTTTTTAAATAATTAATCGCGATTGATTTCAGAAACAAATTTATGATTAATTAGTTAATTAAATATTTTATGTGTGTGTGTATATATACAGACACACACAGTCACTGTGTCACTCATCCGCTAGGATGCTTTAGGTGTCTGCTTACTGTCTCACGAACATGCTGAAGTCTGATAGCTCACATCACTAACACACACACACACACACACACACACACACAGACACATACAACACTTTCACACACTCACACACACACACACACACACACTCTCTCTCACACACACACACACACACACACTCTCTCTCTCACACACACACACTCTCTCTCTCTCTCACACAC